AACTGGGCCTTTCAAGCCCCAGTTCGACCCTCTCATCTGTACACCATGCAGGTTCTTTGCCAAAGCAGTTTCTTCTGCCGAAATTCTGCATCCATGGAAATATGGAAGGCATACATGATCTGTCCAAATCCTTCCTGTCCAGGAGTAGATCCAACACAGTTTGTTACTAGAGCCCATGGGCTTTTTGTCTTGGGATAACTGTGCGACTGTGGCATTATATAACATAAATAACCATGTGCAGTCACGTCAAGTCAGATTTATGGTGGCCCTTTTTAGAGTTTTCCACTCAGAATTGGTTTACCGTTCCCTTCTTCTGGGGGTGTCCCAGGACTGTGCAGCCAGCCCAAGGCCAAACTGGCTGGCTGTTCTCCTAGGAAGCACTGTGGGGAATCAAACTCCCAACCTCTGGCTCTGCAGCCAGATACATGAGCCACTGAGCTGTTCAGCCAGCGTAATCTTTAATGATTGTCCCGTTCCTCAATTTGTTCTCAGCAGCTTTGTGCCAATACAGAAAAACAATGCGTTGATCCGAGGTGTGAGCTGGAAGCTTCCGTGAGCATAATCTAACCTGTCCGTTGCTTCCTCGTGTGCCAAATCATGCAGGGATTTGCGAACTTCACATCTCTAACTTTGCCAGCCGCTTAGGTGATTTAGCTTTTCTAGGGTTACCAGCTGGCCAAACCACAGATTAGTGGCTTAGCCAAAATTTCATACCCCAGACAAACATAAGGTGAATTTCTGCTTTTCGTCATAATTCATAATAAATAATTATGTACTGTCAACTTGGTTGTGATTTATCATAACTTTTCCCCAGGATTTCAGAGGTATAAGAATAGATATATCAGTTCCTTTTTTTCTAGGGATACTCTGAGACTGTATAGCTTACCCAAGGCTACACAGGCTGGTTTTTCTCCTGGGAGACCGAGTGGGGAACCAGACTTCCAATTGCAGGCTCCACAGTCAGGCATTCAACACACTGAGCCATCTAACCAGTGTTTTTGGTATGGTTTCCCTATTTTTTAAATAAATACAGTAGTTTTTAAAAATTGTAGAAATAAGACATCTGGACAAGTAAAAGGTGTATTTTATTGTGTTCCTCCCTTCGAAAGGTGCTTCCTGGAAGAGGGGAACAGCACTTTTTTGTCTGGACACCAACCCCCTAGACCAGTGATGGTGAACCTTTTTGAGCCTGAGTGCCCAAACTGCAACACAACATCAACTTCTTTATTTCAAAGTGCCAACACTGCAATTAAAACCTGAATACTGAGGTTTTTGTTTAGAAAAAAACAACTGCTCCTGCACTGAAAGGGTTAAATGCTTGTGTTTTTTCCCTATGGG